CTCGTTGAGCCCGTTAAGAGCGTCATGTGGAAGAAAATATTTAAACGGTTTAAGTACGTGGTATCTCTGGTTTGTTTTGTTGTGTTTCATTTCGTCAAAAAAAAAAATTAATGCAGAGTCTCGACTTGACATTAGCTTTCTTATGCAAATATGATACCACTATTAGGATTGGAATCGTTTAAAATGAAGAAAAAAAAAAACAATTTGCTGATCTTAGCTGAACGTCACGTTAAATGTGAAAGTAGGTTACTGGCACATGTCGAATCCAGTAGCACGAATTCCTTGGTATAGGAAGGTCTAAAGCGCGGTTATTCTTCCGTGATTATTCCACCTTTGTGATAGCAAAGTTCTACTGAGGATGAGAATGGAGATTTACAACTGTGTAACTGTGTCTTGTTGAAGGTATTGCTTAGTGTATTGATTTATTTGTATGATTGGAAAAATGGGAGTAAAATTTATTATCTAAAGTAAACGTAAATCGAATTTACATTATTCAGAATTAATAATGAAGTTCGTGAATAATTTTGTTTCAGAAATATTTCCCGCCTTTAAGAGTTTGAAATTTAAAGCCTTAATCAACTTGCCATCTCTTTGTCTTCACGTCAAACGAGTCACGATTGCGCTGGAAAATGCTGCGTTTTCTTTGAACGACGCTAAGGTTTTCATCGATATTTAATGAACCTCGGAGAAAGACACAAAGCATGGAAAATTTCGATGTATGTATTCTGTTATGCCGATCAAGGTTACTTAGGGGTAAATATTGTTGTGTAGAGCTGTATAGTAATGTCAACTGCAGTAGCAAGAAGTATAATGCTATCTAGGGGTAGATATTGTTGTATAGCGCTGTATCGTGATGTAGGTGCAGAAGAGGAAGTATAGTGGTATCTAGGGGTACATATTGTTGTATAGCGCTGTATAGGGATGTAAACTGCAGTAGCGAGAAGTATAATGCTATCTAGGGGTAGATATTGTTTTATAGCGCTGTATCGTGATGTAGAGTGCAGAAGAGTGAAGTACAGTGGTATCTAGGGGTGCATATTGTTTTATAGCGCTGTATAGTGATGTAAACTGCAGTAGCGAGAAGTATAATGCTATCTAGGGGTAAATATTGTTGTATAGCGCTGTATCGTGATGTTGAGGGCAGAAGAGTGAAGTATAGTGGTATCTAGGGGTACATATTGTTGTATAGCGCTGTATAGTGATGTAAACTGCAGAAGAGAGAAGTATAGTACTATTTAAGGGTACATGTTGTTTTATAGCGCTGTATTGTGATGTAAATTGTGGAAGAGGGAAGTATAGTGCTACCTAGGGGTACTTGTTGCTTTTATGATCCATCAAATATTTTTGCTCGCGCGCAATTGGTGTAAACGCAGCAAGTGACTAAATATCCCCCAGCTAATACTGGGTGATATCCGAGAATATCACGCAAGCGATATTCCCCAATTCGCAAACCCTACGGCTACCTCGATAAGTCTTCGTTTCAAATTTAATTCAATTCAGTGAGCTGTTCATAAAAATTCTTTCACGAGCGTTGCAAAATAATTGAAGGATAAAAATCACAATAGCCTCTATTTTGCACGAAAATATGTTCGGATATTTGTCTTTGGACATTGTCCCTCGAAGCTCACAGTTTTGGCATCTTGGAATAGATAATGTCCGCGGACAAATATGCACAATTATTTTCGTGCCAAAATGGAAGCATAGTACTATTTAGGGGTTCATATTGTTGTGATGCGCTGCACAGTTACTTCATTTTACGGATTTACAGTGCTACTCAGGGGTATAATGTTGTATTGTGCTGTATAATTTTAAAAGTTGCAATAAAGGGATATATAGTGCTATTTAGGGAAGGAGGAGAGGGGCATATAGGCGTACGTATTCGAGGAATTTGTTCTACAACGTAAGGAGACATGGAGTCCAATATTCGACGGAACGTGTTTGCTCCTAATGAATCTCTCGGGCTGTTATCGACTACTTCTTAGGAAGCATTACAATAACTTAACCTTTCTTGATTATTGTCTTTTCAAAACACTTTTTCAAGGTCCTCTCTGCGTCTACATCCAAGATGACGGCTACCGATTCGGAGAAGTCTGTGGATTGGCCTGCTGCCATCATGGACTCGCGATGTAGGTGGACCCTGGGCCAGAGTTTGATCCATTCCCAATTTGATGATAGAAGATGCCTTAATTTGGACATTGAAGGACTCGTTTCCAACAAAATGCATCGATTATGTCGCAGAGACTTGGAGGGAGCTCTTTCGTTTTATAGCTGCTACTGTGATGAGAGGACCGAGGAGAGCAAACACTGGCAAGTGAGACTTAAAATTGAGACCCCTGTGGACTGGGAATGAGTCGAAAGGAAAACTAAGATTTTACTAGACATGATGCTAAGAGGACACCGTCCTAAAGTGAACAAAATAAGCATAATAACAACTACTCTGGGGAAGTAAGGAGGTATATGAGTTGTAAGAGACCTGACATTGCACGAGGATTGAGACGAATGAAAACTGAAACAGACAAGGAGATAGTCGCGTCTAATGAAGCGCGTAGAAGAATAAAGTTGAGGGCGATGAAAGAAGTGCGCGTAAAAATGGGAATAAAGGAAAAGTACGATGAAAAAAAGGGAAGGAACAAAAGGAAGGAGAAAAAAGAGATGCACAAATGTGAAAAGGTGTAAAAAGGTAAAAAGGGCGCACACAGGTAACAGTATGAACACGTCCGTCGGCATTCAAAATCGTGTGACAATATGGAGAACGGTAGACAGTGAAAGAGACACAATCGAAGAGTCGACGAGCGTTTGTTAAGTGGGTGGGGGCTTGAAACATGGAATGTCAGTACACTGTCAGCTGCAAAGATTATCAACTTGGCGCGCGCGGGTCAAAACAAGCATTGAAGTCCCCGTAGGATCTGTTCTCCCTGCATCTCACGCGAATCCTTAGAATATGGAGACAGACAATGAAAACAAACGCAGTTTTTGTATTTTATACACTCTCTATTTCTCTTACACAAAAAAGTAAAAAAAAGTACAATACAAACTGCATTAAATTGTTCAAGGCATTAAGTAAAGTACGCGCTAAACGGAGACACTAAAATGAACCCATTTATTCCCAAGATTGATCATAACTTAAATTCTCCTCACAAAATTAATGCACCGACAAACATGGTGTCAATAAGAATTAGAGAAAATCTAAACTAGCGGATTATTTTTCACTAGAAACGTTATGTTTCATCGAATTCTCAGAATGAAGCAACAAAGAAACACATTCTTATCAGTTGGGAGAATTTTTCTTCACAACTTGGGAGTTAATGAGTTAATGAATAAAAACTTAGGTAAATGAACAAATAGCTTCAACTTTAAATACAAATAGCATCAAAACAATTCACACCAAATACACTGATATTATAAAAAGAATGTTTAGTCGAAATTGTCCCAGCTTGTTTTTAAAATCCTACGTTACATCATATTCAACCATGTGCAAGGTTAACTATTACATTTTATACCAGCATATACCAATGGTAGTTATGAAAATCTGTCAAAAATTAACATTGATTTTACAAAAATTTCTTTTAAAACAGCTGTGATACAGTATACCTTAAACTTTTGACTACATAACGGGTTCTAATTACAAAGCGTGCTCTGAATACCTAAGTATAAATTCTTAAATCTAAGAAAGATATCATCAGACATCTCCAAATTATACTAAGGTAAATTTAAACCCATGAAAAAAATTTGAACAGGAAATTTTCAAAAAAATGCAAGTTTTATCCTGAAGCCCAGAACCTTTTTAACTACGGCCTAGATTTACATTTATTCATGAACATTTTCACTAAAATAATTCCCACTGAGGACTACATGGCTTACTTCAAGTGTTTCCCTAATTTATTGGCGTAAATATTTTCCTAATGAAAACAACAAATTTCATGTCACCTACATTAAAAGTCACAGCAATGGAAACTTCAATTAAAGTAAACTCTGCTTCGCTATTTCCTTGTTTAGATTACATGGACAATTTGTCTCTGTCGTCGTTCTCTAAAACAAACTGATGAGTGTTTGATAAAACTGACTAAAATTGATCAAACTCGTTTGATTGAAAGCAGGCCGTTGTAGCCAGCTCTTTGACTTGTTGTAGGCCTTTTTCCTGAGAAATTTCAATTTTTGTTTTCAACATTTTTAAGAGTCATATTAGAAAAGTCAAGCGGGCGGAAAAAAATTGTAGGCCGGGCCCACGGGACTAGAGGCTGGCCACACCCCTGAGAGTAGGTCTAATGTCTCTAACATATGGTCAGTAAATTCAACAACATCATCTCTGATGATTACTTCTTCAAATTAAGCTTAGAATGGCAATCTTGGCACTGATGGAATTACATTGCATTAAAATGGATTGAAAAAAAAAATGAAAATGATAATCAATTTTTTTGTAAAGATAATTGCAAATTGCAACAATGTAATTTATGACGTAGAAAAACCATTAAGATCAATTCACATATGGCTGCGAATTTTGCAAATCACATTTTTGAAATTAAAATTTCACCACCTTTTGCAAATGACAAACTGTTTCTTTGCTTATCAAAAGCTTAGAGTATCAACGTAATTAAAACCCGGTGGACAAGCTCCTGGTTGTGTACAAGAAAAAAACCTTTAAATTATTTTACACATAACTGATTGCAATAAAGGAATATATCTGAGTGTCATTTTGGCGAAACGAAAACCTCGTAGTCGCCTTCAACAACTTCAGGCATTAACAAGAGAAGCCTTGTTGCATCTTGTTCTCTTCGCAAGCATCTAAATTTGTAAAGGTAAAAAAAATAGCAATTCCACTGAAGAAAATATACTGAAATAGTCTGTTTTATTTCTTCACCAAAAGTAAAGTCACACATCTCAAGTTCCATTTAACAAAAAAGTCAAAAGTCATGAAAAATAGCCAAAAAGCGCCAAAATAGAGAAGCATTTAAACCTTCCAAGTTCCTGCGTCATTCATTTTGAGATGAAATAAAAAGTTTTCATTTTTGTGATTTCATATTTAAATTTTCTCTTTCCCTTGCCATGAAGTCAAGAGTGACGTCATCTCCAATCAGCAAAAAGGGCGCCCAGTGTTTGATGTCGCAGAACTTGTCTGATTCTCTGAGGCTTTTCATGGCAAGGTTCAGTGACTCGCTTGCTGGTTTACCTCCTGCAAGTTGTTGATAAAAGTATTTCATGAACTCAAGAGTAGCCTCGTCATCAATCGCCCACAGGGACACCACAATAGACCGAGCACCAGCCCCCATAAAAGCGCGCGCAATGCCAACCACACCTTCAGCCTTGATCTCGCCCCGGCCGCTGTGGCAGCAACTAAGCACAACAAGTTTGGCCCGAAGTTGAGCATTCAACACATCTCCAATTGTTAAAATGTAATCCTCCTCCGTTGGCACAGTAGATATTCGGTCTGGGTCAGGTGTAAGAGCAATTTCGCCAGTTTCCATACATCCGTGTGCCGCAAAGTGAACTAGGGAAACGGAACTGAGTCTTTTCAACACCTCACGTTTCGTGGCCTGACTGCCAGTGATTGGCGTGATATTCAGAATTTTTCCGATCATTTCTACTTCTTTTTTAGCATACTCAAGCTGCTCGAAGACTTTCTTTCCCTCGCTGTTAGTAACCTCGGATACCCACGGATCTCCTACAAGTAACGCACCACTGCTTTTGTGATAATCATCTGGGCAATCGGCAATGAGTCTAAGACTTGCTAACGATGGAGCGACTCGGATTGTGAACGATTCACACAGGTATTTAGAATTACCATCCTTCAATGCAGCGTAAGGAGCGATCCACAGGGGTCCATCAGGAATAATGAGTAGCTCATCCCCTTCAATCAAGTCAGCCACCGGCTTCATAACGATATCATACAAAGTGCTCAAGCATCCGTCTTGTTGGATGTGAGGTTGAGGCTTGGCTTCTTTGGTTTTCTCATCCACTTTTGAACGGCCCTCCCTCAAAGCATCTAAAGATCGATTCTCGCATCTCACATTATAACGAACATAAAGTTGTTTATAGACATCGAGCATGAACGACTCAAAGGACAGGCTAGATCCACTATTCTCTGAAACAAAACCTTTGAGTTTACTTTGTCTTAACTGAACTTGTTTTCCTTCGGACACAACCCAAAGATTGACGTTAGCTTTGTCCACTGCCTGAAAGACAGTGTTTGATGGAACGTTTTTTAAAACTGCGCAATCTTCATCTTCTCCCTTGTGGTGACTTGTTCCACCACAAAAACTGGATTCCATGAGGTCGGTCAGAGCTTGAGCTCGTCCTTTCTCAGCAACAAAAAAGGCTTCATCTACATAACCTTGTTCTACAAGAACTCTCCACAAACCCGTATACGCCACTTGATGCTGATTTCGAAAATTAACTTTCCACTCATCTTTAGATATTAGAAGTAGTCTCAAGGAATTGAATAAGTTTATGCTAGCTTGGTAATGTTCAACGGCTTTTGGCAGTCCACCTTGTAACTCAAAAAAACCATCCTAGTGAACAGTAGGCCATTGCCTCCAGGATTTGTCTCCTACTTCTTTAGCTATTTTAAGATGTAGGTTGTGGTACTCTATGGCTTTTTTTAAAAATCACCCAGACGGCGATAAGCATTGCCAAGATTGCCATAAGCAACACCCTCCCCCATGCTTGTCTCCTACTTCTTTAGCTATTTTAAGATTTAGGCTGTGGTTCTATGGCTTTTGGTCTCTCGGTATGGCTTTTTTGCTTGTCACCCAGACTTTAAAATAAGCATTGACCAAGATTGCCAAGATTGCCATGAGCACAACCCTTCCCATGCTTGTCTCCTATTTCTTTAGCTATTTTAAGATATAGATTGTGGTACTCTATAGCTTTTTTGAAATCACCCAGACGGCCATAAGCATTGCCAAGATTGCCATAAGCACAACCCTCCCCATGCTTGTCTCCTACTTCTGTAGCTATTTTAAGATGTAGGTTGTGGTACTCTATGGCTTTTTCGAAATCACCCAGATTACAATAAGCACTGCCAAGACTGCCACAAGCACCACCCTCCCCATGCTTGTCCCTGTTCTTTAGCTATTTTAAGATGTAGGTTGTGGTACTCCTTTTTTGAAATCTTCTTTAGCTATTTTAAGATGTTTAAGAGGTTGTGGTACTCTATGGCTTTTTTGAAATCACCCAGACAGTCATAAGCACTGCCAAGATTGCCATAAGCACAACCCTCCCCATGCTTGTCTCCTACTTCTTTAGCTATTTCAAGATGTAGGTTGTGGAACTCTATGGCTTTTTTGAAATTACCCAGACGGTGATAAGCATTACCAAGATTGCCATAAGCGTTACCCTCCCCATGCTTGTCTCCTACTTCTTTAGCTATTTTAAGATGTAGGTTGTGGTACCCTATGGCTTTTTTGTTATCACCCAGACGGTGAAAAGCATTACCAAGATTGCCATAAGCGTTACCCTCCCCATGCTTGTCTCCTACTTCTTTAGCTATTTTAAGATGTAGTTTGTGGTACTCTATGGCTTTTTTGTTATCACCCAGACCGTGATAAGCATTGCCAAGATTGCCATAAGTCTCCTACTTTAGCCTTTTAATGCTTGTCTCCTATGGCTTTTTTAGCTATTTTAAGATGTAGGTTGTGGTATGCTTGTCTCCTATGGCTTTTTTAAGATGTAGGTTGTGGTACTCTATGGCTTTTTTGAAACTACCCAGACTGTCATAAGCATTGCCAAGATTGCTATAAGCGTTACCCTCCCCATGCTTGTCTCCTACTTCTTTAGCTATTTTGAGATGTAGGTTGTAGTACTCTATGGCTTTTTTGGAATCACCCAAATGGCGATAAGGATTGCCAAGATTGCCATAAGCAACACCCTCTCCATGCTTGTCTCCTACTTCTTTAGCTATTTTAAGATGTAGGTTGTGGTACTCTATGGCCTTTTTGAAATCACCCAGCTTAAAATAAGCATTGCCAAAATTGCCATAGGCACCACTCTCTCCATGCTTGTCTCCTACTTCTTTAGCTATTTTAAGATGTAGGTTGTGGTACTCTATGGCTTTTTTGTGATCACCCAGACGGTGATAAGCATTGCCAAGACGGCCATAAGTAACACCCTCCCCATGCTTGTCTCCTACTTCTTTAGCTATTTTAAGATGTAGGTTGTTGTACTCTATGGCTTTTTTGAAATCACCCAGACTAAAATAAGCATTGCCAAGATTGGCATAAGTAACACCCTCACTTTTCTTGTCTCCTACTTCTTTAGCTAATTTAAGATGTAGGTTGTGGTATTCTATGGCTTTTTTGAAATCACCCAGACGCTCATAAGCATCGCCAAGACTGCCATAAGCGTTACCCTCCCCATGCTTGTCTCCTACTTCTTTAGCTTGTTTAAGATATAGGTTTAGGTACTCTATGGCTTCTTCTCCCTGATTATGGAGATCTATGACTTTCTTGACATCACCTGAACTTGCACTACCGTGGTCATGACTAATAGGATCTTTTTCCTCCATGGACTTATCCCCCACTTCACTGACAGACTGAAGTCTTAATGACAACAAGATCCTATTGTTTTTGTCAATCTTTTTTATGTTAAGGATTAAAAATGTGGAAAAAAACAAAAAAGATTATGTTTCTGATCATATTGATATGTAATAGTCCATTTTAACATTTGCGTGCTTGGTTCCCAAACCTCTGAACAAGAGCGATGATTAAGGATGACCTTGTTATGATAAAAACATTGCTGCCTTTTAAATGCAAACTACTTTGTTATTATCGTTTCTAGATGCTGGTCTCTATCACAACAAGGTCACCAAAATGTTTTTTCTGTGTGCAGCCTTAAAATTTAACGCGAAATATCTAGATTTAATCCTTAGTTTCCAAAAACTGAGCAGCACTTGCTCAATTTTTAAATTATTATAGCTTTAACATCAGACAAATGTTTTACAGCAGTGGAAGAAATGAGTCTACAACACAAATACATGTCTTTAAAATTTTTATTTGGAAAGGAAAGCACAACGAAAGTTTCCGAATCTCTAAGTAGTGGCAAAAGGTCGAAGGCAAGAAAATCTGCATAAGATATGTAAACATTACCGAGCTTTTTGTTTTGGCTTGTTTTAGAGAGTTCATCTACCCAAATACTATGTATAAACTGGATGAATATTAGTCTTCTAACCCTTTAACTCCCGTGAGTGACCAAAAGAGAATTTCTCCTTACAATAGCAATACAATATCAATCAGATAAGTGTTGAGAGTAAAAAAAAAAATATTAATTTCAAAATAGTTAGTTGATGCAATACTGAATTCTCTGTACTAACATTGCAAGAATTTTACGGTTGACAGTAAGGATAATTACAAATTTGGTCTGGGAAATTAAAGGGTTATTTTCAACTAATGTACCAGTTATTGGCATGGATACTAGAACTAAGTCAAATTGGCTAAAAGGAGCAATTTCATTAATAAGTCATGAGGTAATAACTTCTCCTATGTTTTTAATCACACACACTTAAAGTATATGAGCTGACAAGTTCCCATCATAATTAATACCCATAATTCTTTGCATTTTCTCCCTTGAAACATCAAATTATGGAGACTTTTTCCATTATACCCACGGTTAAAAATGAAAGATTCCTTCAAAGGATACAGCTAGTCCCTTATCACACCAAGTGATTGCTTCTTCAAATCTCTTCAATTCAACACAAGTAGTGGCTCCTGTAGGCAACAACACAAGGAAGCATTTAATTACTGTAGCTCAATTCTGAGAAAAGAACCTGAAACAATTGAAATCATCACTGACCAGAAGAAAAAAAAAGACAAAACAAAACGATACAAAAAAACTAAACGGAAAAGAATAAACAGGCCCTATTAGGTTTCAGTTAGATTTATTTAGCTTTACAGACAACTGAAACTTCTAAGAACACTTAAATTGGGATCAACAACTCCCACAAAAACACTAAAAGTTAGGTAAGTCCTGATCCTTCTTTTTAAAACATCTAGATAGTGACTTAAGAGCGTGTCTACGAGAGCACCGGGCAGTCGTGCTACATGCCATCTCACCGATTTCAATGAAACTTTGTCAGTTTAAAGGGTCTACCCCAAAACTCAAAAAAACAGACTGGTTTCTGTTTTGGTTTTTTCCGGGGGGAGATAGACCACCCCCCCGGTTTTTCTTGGTTTTCACCGAGGAAATCGCTTCAAATAGGTAAAACGTATGAAGCTCTCACTGCGATGGTATTTAACCGTATTTTTGTCTTGGATACCTTTTAAAATCTGCGACTGTGACAAGTTTCTCTCAACTACACCTGTCACGAAATTCTTGCTCTAGGCGGTCACTTGACAAAATAAACCTACATTTTTTATCTCTTTATACAAGATGATTGCTCAAGAAAGGTAAAAAATGTGAAAAATTTCCAGATTTTTTGTAGGAATGGAAAATTTCACGTTTAGAGAGATGCATGTTGACGGAAAATCAATGGGAAAATCGTAGCGTTTCTTTCTTCAGTCGTTTATTACTTTGAAGATTTGCTAAAATCAGGACATAGGGCTCTTGTACAGAACAAAACATTCATTAGCCTATACTTTGATCGTCTATTATCATTATCGCACAGTTTACAAAAAGGAAACTGTAACAGGAGGGGAGATTTTAAAGTCACATGTCGCCTGCTTGTTGACGTACAAGTTCGCGAGTGTAACAACTTCGACTTTTCTATACCGCGAATGACGGGAAACTCTGCCCCCCTTATTTGTTAGGAAATATCAATAGCCCCATAAATTCATTAACTGCGCCATGTTTCCAGAAAATAAGACTGGAAAATGTTTTTTCCAATTTCCACCATCAAGAAATTCCACGTATAGGAATAGTATTTGTAGGGTCACTGTGTGACCTTTTATGAGAAGTAAAAATTGTTCATCTTTTTTTTTTCAAGAAGAAACTTCTAGAAAGTTCCTAATCCTTCTGTTATCTTATTTTCCTGTTTTTTGGCTGCAAATATCATCTGCATTTGCTATTATTTTCGTTGATTGTCATGGCCTTTCCTGCGTGCACGTGCGAGCTAGTTCATATACAGGACTCTTTCAAGTTTCTCTGGCTGGTGTCGGGCTTATGTGTGTAGGTCTGGTTCAAAATATATCTGCGCGCTGCAACACGAATTCCTGTTTTCTCCTTTTTCTTTATTTCTATTTTCATTCTCTTGCTTCCATTATCACACATTTATGTTTTTTTTATTCCCTCAGCACGTTCCCTCAGATTTGCAAGTAGGCCATGAAAAGTCAATATTGACCAGAACTGAAATATTTTTCTATCACTATTTGTTTTAGAGAACCCCCGTCATTTGTGACTTTATTTCTCAAGAAAATGTGTCTTTATTTTCTATTTATTTCCATTAGAACATGACACTAGGTCCTGATAAGTTTTTTTTGTCTCGTGACTCCCAAAAACTGTGTTTGCGACAACATCAATTGAGAAATCAAAGGCAATTACGCCTGAGAAATTCGCTTGTAATCTTCTATCCGCAGAAGGCAACTCCATATAATGAAACGTTCTAAGACCTCTGTAAACTAGAGACATTGGGTGATGTTGAGAAGTGAAATATTTACACTAAATCTGTGACCCTTAAACGGATCACGTACTCGTACGTGTAACGTCCGGAAAATGTCACGCATCTATAACACCGTAGGCGCACCTGATGTATTCTATCCACTGACTTCAATAGTAAAGAGACAACTTATTTACTATTTGTATATGTGCAAGCTTATTTACCCTACTTGAAAAAATCCTTGATGAAGTCTACTATTGTCAAACGAAACGCGTGGGAGATAAATACAAGTTTTTACTTTCTCAGTTCGTGCAGTGTAGGAAAATGCTTTTAATGTGAAGTCACGTCGATCTCGACAGAAAAACTGAGCTCACCCTATCATAATCAATGGTTTGATACCGTAAGTACCAATTTAGGTACATCATTGGGCTTTGATCACAATGATGAAAAAAATGTGCGTTTCCTCACCCTCGCCACGTTTATTCTTTGGAAAATTTTTTTTAATGGAGGGCGATGTCGCTCAGCTTGGCGCGTCTTGACTCTTGCCGACGAGAATTATCGAGGTGAACTCCATGAAATTCTAGTCAAATGTTTTAAAAACTTTGTCTACCCTTGATTTGCACGCAGAAAAAAAAGGCAAATCCCGAACGGTATTTCAAAACAATTTATTCATTAGTCAATTTATGAACTGTTTCATAGCAGCCCGAGGAGAAAGAAAAATTGAAACAACCGGCGTATCGGTCAAATGAATTCCAATTTTTTCAACAAGCAGTTGGTAAGTTCATTTTTCCTAGTAAATTTAAGTGGGGATCATTTTTTTTTTACAGTCGATCAAAGATAGACATTTCTGAAACGTCTCTGAAACTCTTTTTAAAAAGAGCGTACACTTCCGGTAATATTTTCCTCCTTCTCGCAACAGCACAACAGACATTGTTAATCCTATGCAGTGTAGGTGTATCAGTTTTATTACGTCTTCATAGTGATACCATATAAGAAATCGAGTGTCTAAAAAGCCCTCAATTCAATCTAACACTCGAATTGGTAAGTCAAGATGGTGCAGTTGTCTTGTTCATTTGCAACTAACTGTACAACCAAATGTTACTTTTCTCGCGCTGGCCAGGGACGGCAACAGCTCACACCTCTAAATTCGTGGGTATACAGCTTTAAAAAAAACATTTGAGAGACGTCGATGTATGCCAAACATGCGTTTCGTCCGAGATGAAGCTTATTCCAGCGCGTAGTGGCTTATTTGGAGATGACGAAGGCCGCGATTTCACGATGTACCTCAAATATCGTGCACAACTTGGTGTGAGATCCAGACCTTCGGGTTCGTAAATGCCACTATCCTCCTCATAAAAATCGGAGACATAAAGTGAGAGAGAGCTGAATCTGCAGATGGCAGAAGAAATCAAAGCTGGTGGCGAGTCTTTCTAGTGGCGGCAAGGTGACTGTAAACCTAAATAGAACGCCTACTGTAGCTGCTATCTTGGAGTCGACAATGAATAAGGAAGAAGGGCAAGAAGAGCGCCTATCTGAACATCAGTTTTCCTAACTGGTGATTTGTGACCGAGATGAACTTTATATCATATGATTGATAGGGATACACAGGTACTGTAGAGACGCTCACATAGATAGAGGTAGGCGATCCTCCCTCTGACTTAAGAACTGCGACAAGTTTATAGCGCAGACCAACTGGCACAGTTTGAAGCACCTCAGGGTCTCACTAGGCTCGTCACATTAGAAACCTTCAGCAAACTAGTCGTACAAGCGGGTGGTTATCAGCAACGTGCACATATTTCTGAACGCGGGTCATCGCAAGAACTATACCCAATCCGTCATAGACGGAACAAGAAAGCGAGATATTCTTGCTAAAAGAAGGATGTATCAGCTGAGGACGTTTCAGTCATTGGCTGCCATCCAAATGTACCCTAAAAAAGACAAAGACAGTGAAACCGACAAAAAAATTCTGCCTAGGATAAGATCAAGAGGAAATGGACTAAGACCGGCTTGCCATTCTATAGGGGACGGCTACGTTCGAGGTCGGACCTCAGGTAAAAAGTCTGACGAACAATCCCTAACTAGCCAAGAAGACTTTGGATGGGCTCTTTGGAAAACACAAAAAACAGCCACCTTTTCTCAGAAAGCAGAGAATTATCTCCTAGACATCTAGTGTGCTGGACAAGGGAGGAAACTAGTAAGGCAACCACCTCTAATGTGATTTCCCAAATATCGAGTTTAAGAGACGACACCAGCCAGAAATGTTGTCTAAGACTGACCGGTTGATACAGCAGCAAATCGCTCGATACTTCAGCCGGTTATCTGCCGTAACAAAAATTGGTTGATTGATGAGGTCCCCCTCTGTAAATACGAATAAGGAAGGAGAGGCCGATGCCAATGATCTAGCTTCAGAATTCGAAACTGACCGAACAAGGCAGAAGATAAGGAGAGACCTTGCAAAATTTAGACGAAGACTGCAGGAGAGGGTAAAGCTGATATTGAGCTAAAAAAAAAGAAGACATTTGCATCTCACTTTCCTCTCATATTTATTGTCTTTGCTCACGAAAACAACTGGCTATGTCTTGGGATTTCATCAAGGCAAATTTGCAGGAAGGCTACTCGTCAAATTACCGCTGGCTCAGATTCTCATTTAAAAATTTTACAAGTCACGCAATTAAACGCCGGCAACACTCGATGTAGAGAGATGAAGATTTATGTGTAGTAATAGAATGCTTGAAAAAAAAAAAAGATATTTTACGATCGAAGCAGGCAAATAATCATAGAGATCTGCAGATTATTCTGAAATTGTTATCTAGCAGACAGCATGAACAACGCGCTTGAATAATTCCTACTAAGAGTCTTCGGGTCACACAACAGATGTTAGCTTAGCGGAGTTCCGCATGGAAATGTTCGATGGCGGTAAGTGACAACGACAACACTATTTTAAATTTTTTTTCGGGATAGAGGCACAGTTTTTAGTCTGATAGAAGTATTGATATTTGCTCTCGAGCGAGAGCGCAGAATTTCTCGTCTGTAAAAGCCGAAGTTGTAATAAAAAGTAATAAAGTAATAAACGACTGAAGAAAGAAACGCTACGATTTTCCCATTGATATTTCGTTTACATGCATCTCTCTAAACGTGAAATTTTCCAATCCTACAAAAAATCTCGAAAGTATTTCACATTTTTCACCTTTCTTGATCTATCATCTTGTATAAAGAGCTAAAAATGTAGGTTTATTTTGTCAAGTGACCGCCTAGAGCAAGAATTGTGTGACAGGTATAGTTAAGAAAACTTGTCACAGTCGCAGATTTTAAAAGGTATCCAAGACAAAAATACGGTAGTGCCCAAAAGATTTTTTTTGATGATTTTCAGAGATGAAATAATGGGTTATAAAGGGGTATTAGGAATATTGTTGTAGCTTTCTGGCAACGGGAGATATTTGACCTCAAAGTTGTCAAATATTTGGATGAATCGAAAAGTCTAAAACCAAAGTCGTATATTTGCCTCTATTGATTGACAAGCCGTCAATCAAACTGAATGATACTCGCAGCAGACATTAACTAAGGATGTAAAAATATGTGTGCAAATCCTCAAAGTAATCGGTTAAAGACCATCGCCGTGAGAGCTTCATACATTTTACCTATTTGAAGCGATTTCCTTGGTGAAAACCAAGAAAAACCGGGTGTGGTCTATCTCCCCCCGGAAGAACCAAGACAGAAACCAGTTTGTCTCTTTGAGTTTTGGGGTAGACCCTTTAAACTGCCAAAGTTTCATTGAAATCGGTGGGATGGCTTGTAGCACGACTGCCCGGTGCTCTCGTGGACACTCTCTTAACATATCTGACACCTGTGACTCATTGGACTTAAGGAACTAAAATATTCATGCTGAAATTTTGCTTTGCATTCCGCATTGAGTTCTTCATCCCGTTCAAAATAATATTCTTATCATGATTAATGGAAAGTAATGGCGTAGCAGTCAAGAGCTGGATTCAAATGTACATCAGGGTGGTCTCGACCTCTTAATTAAAGTCAATTGAGACAAGATTGAACTCCATTTAACCTCATTTAACCTTAGAGTGTTGAGTTCTTTTGTTATTATTATTATAGCACAGCTAACATATCTAACCTCTCACAATTGCCTTAAGGAAAGTTGGATTTAACTCAATGGCTGCTTCTGCATCCCTTAGTGAATCCTGGTGATTTCCTGTTATTGAAATAAATATCTCTGATCAGCCATACATGTTGCAAACCAACTACCATTACTATAATTTTGGGAAAAAACTTGTGATGCTCATTGATATCTGGGGTAAGAGGTTACTTCTTTGTATATTTGAGAGGCCAACATAAGATGTACATTTTTCCGGGCATGCATTCAAAATTATCACCTTTTTCAGAAAACTACTACTGACAACTCAATAGCTTCAAAATAGAAAAAAATGGATATCATCATCTTACCAAGTTTAGAATGTGCAATAGCCCTGTTGTTGTGCAGTTTGGCCTTCAGTTCTTTCTCATTGCAGTTCATTTTAATTCCTTTGGTGTAAAAATGAATAGCATTGATGAAATCTCCTTTCTTGAAGGCCTCATTACCCTCATTTCTATAAACATCAGCTATGGCTGCAAAGAAAAAATAAAAAATAATTTGTGTCAAAGTCTGTGGTTGTAGTTAATAATTACATGTGGTTGTAGTTAATTAGTGCATAAGCAGAGCTGCCAAGATCTGGAGATTTAAAATCTGCAGATTTTTCCTTTAGTGCCAGCTGCCACTTTTGCACCTGCCTGACTTGACCCATCCCTTGAAAAGCTTGGAGTAATACTGCTGAATCATTCACTTAGCTCATGAGAATAAAGGAAATGATCACCAACCTAAGAAGCATTGATCTTCAAATGAATTCTCTTTTTCAGTACCACAAGAAACATACAAAGAATAGTATGGAGAATATGGATACTGATGTTCGGGTGTCAAGGGTTAAACACCTCCATATTCAATGATATAACACTTGCACTCTACTGGAAATTGGTTGCTTAGGGGAAGTTGAAACTTTCAATTTAATGTTGCATAATATAATGGAAAGATGATGATGATGATGATGGTACTTATGATGCAAACTTACAAAATGAATGTCATATGATGATCAAATAAAGTCTTTACTTATTATAACTTTGTGTACTTGCTTTGAAATTTGAGAAAAGAAAATAACAAATATGTCATGGATCCTCTCAGTCAATCAACAGCATATTGTAATCATACAAGAGAGTCATGACTGGCCAAACATCCTTTAAGGTGGTCATGCAGTGTATTAATATCATTCTCCACATCTGCTTACATTCTTGAAACTGGTGGAATAGAAAACGTTTTAACAGTGACTGAAGCCAAAGTTGAACCTAGCTCACCTCGTAAAGTGTCCTCATCAAAATCTGGAGCATTTTCTTTGTCAGGTAAGTCTTCATTTTCAGATGGAACCTTAATTGGACTTCTTTCTTTAGCCATAGCAACTGTAAGGGGATGCTTCTTTCAAAAATTTGCTGTTTTAAGTCATCCTGGCCTGAAAAAAAAGATGGTTGCAAATGGTAAAAAAATTAGCTCAACATATTACCCAATTGTAAACTAAATATTTTTTCCCTCCTGAGAATGGGAGGGATACATAGACACAAAATCACAAGCAATTAATATTAATAGCATATTTAAAGCAGTAAAAGAACAATAGATATATATATTGAAGAAAACAAGCATTAATATTTAAATAAACAGTAATTCACTTCTAATTACAATACATTTCAAGATTTACTAAAGACATTCCTATGCAATTGACTGAAATAAATTGGGCAAAAATCAACATCTGTGTGTTTCAAGTTTATATAATTTGTAACAGTAGCAATTTAAATCATTTAAACTAAGAGGTGGTAGGTAGTTAGGTCACATCTGGATTTGAAAAGTGGCCAGTCCAGGGCCTGAGCTTTACTTAACCCTGGTTTCCTTACATGAAGCAACTGGGAGTATTACTACCCAACCCTGGACAGGATGCAAGTCCATTCCACTGTCATCCCTCCCCCCCCCCCTTTCATCCCCCTTGCATTTTATCAGATTTCCCTAACTAATTTTTGCTACCCATTTATACTCCTGGGTGGAGTCAGACACTGTAAGAGTATAGTGTTTTGCACAAGAACACAATACATTGACTGGAACCCAGACCTCTTGACCCTAAGTCCAGCACAGGCCAGGCTACAAATGCAGACCTATTGACCGTGCGTCCACCTCACTAATCATAAGACCACCATGTCTCCGCAAGAGGAGAGAGTTTATGCTGAATCGTTTCTCATAAGAAACAACATTTACAACACCAAAGTAAAATTTTCATATTTGATTTTTAAATAGGGATTACTAGTCAAAACTTATAAAAGATGTATTTCATTTATTCAATTCCTACAGTTGAGCTGATGCCCATATTTGTATAGGTGATTGTTAGTTCAACTGTTTCACTTTATCACAGGAAAAACAGTGAAATATTTACATTTATGCATGCTGATGTATGTTGAAATGGATTTCAATTTGGTACAGGTGCTGACATTTTTGCTTTATTAGTATATGTATATTTAACTAATTGTTTTTGCAGTTATTCTATATTTACATTGTCTTTGCCCAAAATTGTAAGTGTATATAGCTTTTACAAAAACCACGACAAATTTCCATATAACCAGCTGACTGCCAGGGCTTTACAGAGGTATATTGGCCCAAGGTTGTAACAGTATAGGAATGACATGGTGCCAATATTCCCCAGTACCCCTGAAGAGAGCAAGGTAATTGTCATGCACCAATGTCACTTGGACTAAACTAGTTTACAATGAATATACATGTTTTATGATTTTCTGTATGGTGCAATGATGGTCTATGTGGCAAAATCCTGACCAAGTAAGAACCAATCAGAACTTTACATTTATCCCAAGATTACCTTGCCATATAACAACATAAATTATCAACAAACACATACTTGGATGCATGCAGCCTCATGCAGAACTTAACCAGTTTTGATAAAAAAAAAATTGATCGGAAACATTCAGTTGATATGATTATTGATTGATCGTATGTTGATTAGCAGATGACAAAAGGTAAAACTTCACTCAGACACTAATCAATCATTAACAGTTGATGAATTGGATTCCTAAAACTCGAATGCAGTTAATTGAAAGGACTCTTGCAGTAAATAACTAGCTGAATTTGAAGAAAAATCAACTTGTCTCAATATTTAACAAGGAAATAAGACTTATAAAACGTTCCTTACGGTTTGCCGTTTTGAAACGGATAGCCGTTCGTAAGCCGTTCGAACGGGATGGGATGCCGTTCGAACGGCTTGAGCTATCCGTTCAAAAACAATTAGGAGCCGTTCGAACGGCTGGAGCTATCCGTTCCAAATAGATTGGGAGCCGTTCGAACGGCTTGAGCTATCCGTTCAAAAAAAATTGGGAGCCGTTCGAACGGCTGGAGCTATCCGTTCCAAAAAAATTGGGAGCCTTTCGAACGGCTTGAGCTATCCGTTCAAAAAAAATTGGGAGCCGTTCGAACGGCTGGAGCTATACGTTTCAAAAAAGTTGTGAGCCGTTCAAACTGGATGTTCGTGTCGAACGGCTGGCGATATGTTTTGAAACCGTAGCTTACAATTCCTTTGGAAGGGATGTTTCGAGCCGTGATCCTGTCAAAGTTAATAGTCTTCGCACTGCGATCAGTGTCAAGAGTACATCGGACAGACTAAAGTTAGTTTGGTAAACACTTGAAGGTTCCTAATATAGCGTGTTTGCCCTCTGCAAGGAATTAAACTCTGCTTTGTTTAGAGCATGCTTGCCAAACCAACAGTACTATCGCGTGGGAGAATAACAGTAACAACATTCAACACGAACTTTGTAAATATAAGTATTGTTTACAAATGCCTTCATGAATAGTCACGGTTCTTTTTCTACTCCTCCGTCATCTTTAGTTACCTAACATTCGATTATCGATACACATTTTTTATTCAAGATCAAGTTTATTCAACTAGTTTACCGAAAATGTTTTGACGTTTGACAGTATGCAAAGACTGAAATCAAAATGGAATCTCCTGAGGGAATACACCGTACCGTCGGCAAGATGTCAATCCAAACATTACCAATGCAAACACAAAGCGTGTTTTTTATTCATTCATATGCTAAGTTGAAAACAATTACTCTCCATTTGTCCAATAAAAACTGTAGAATTTCGATCCGCATGCCTCGCTGATTCGCTTTTATTGTACACACTCACATCACCGCAGCGGACAAAAATAATGGCACCCGCTTCTTTGTTAACTTAAAAAAATTGCTTGCACTGAAGGTAGCGAAAATTACTCGGTACTTCGTAAAAATTGTCACTATAAATTGTGCCTGTTAGTTCTGAAGATACATGGTGGGGAAAGCGTCGCCTGTGTTCGGAAACGAGATGTTTACAAAGTCAATTAATGGCGTTACATTACGAATTCTGGAAATGGTTGCATGACAATTATTTTAAAAGAGAACGCAGACTATTACCGGCTTTTGTTTCTCCCCCGCGGAAACGAATTTGCTTTACTCTCAAAAGACTTATTATTTTCAAAACAGGATTAGATTTATTCTAGGTTTTCTATCAGTTTTCAGATCTAAGCGGTGCGTGTCGCGTTTATCTTAATTACTGTCATTTCGTTCTAATGTTTTTGATTGGCCGTTCAACCGTTTACTTTGACCTTATCCGTTGAAAACTTCAGCCGTTCAGCTGGTCGAAATTTTCCTTCAGTCGTTCAGCCGTTCGACTTCAACTGTTCGAAACTTTTCTGAAGCCGTTCAGCCGTTCGACTTCAACCGTTCGAAATTTTCCTTTAGCCGTTCAACCGTTCGACTTCAACCGTTCGAAATTTTCCTTTAGCCGTTCCGCCGTTCGACTTAAACCGTTCGAAATTTTTCTGAAGCCGTTCAGCCGTTCATGGCATCCGTTTTAAACGGTTTCTCTATCCGTTTGTCATCCGTTCACATACCGTGCGTTCGACCGTTCGAACGGATACCGTAAGGAACGTTTTCGCGTGAGAGGTCAGTACAGTTTGGAAGGACAATCTAAGCTGTCTATCGAAAAGAAAAATCACTTTCAAACTACAGTATAAAATGATAAACATAAACACATGAAATACGCTGAAAATGTTTATCGCTTTTTGATCAAATGCATCGTAAATACGGGAGCAAATTAAGTTAATACGTACATAGGCCCGATATGAAAGCTAGTGCCAAACACGATTGTGTACATGCTCCGCATGACACGTAAACGAAACTGAAAGTGTTGCGATCAAAAGAGCTTGCACTGAATCAAATCGATAATTTGGATATCCTTTGTAACTCTCCCGAACTACTTATTTTGTCCAAGGTAAATGCCAGGCATTGCTTGCGAATTTTTGTGAATTCGACAACTGTAACTTGTTCAAACAAGCTTGTAGCTAACACGAAGCGGCAATACAATTAATACACGCCAGAATAAAGTAAAAGTTGGCAATCGTCGTCACTTAACTGCAGGAACGTCTTTCATTGTCGGAAATCAGAGAAGGGTCGGAAAGATGAGGAACATTTGAAGGAGGAAATAAAATAAAAGTATTTACCTTACACTCAAAAATCTGATACAACCATGCGTTCTTACCTCTGTCGCGGAAATGGAAGGCACCTTTGACTATTTTACGACCTTGCTTCCTCAGTCCGTCATGAAAATGTTTCAAAGTCACTAAGACAGAGAAAGTACTAAGAAAGACTCGAAAGCTATGTCATGGAACGGAGAATCGCAACGGCGCGTTGTGAAAATGAAACAGAAAGTTCCTTGGCCCATAAATCTGTGCAAGCTTGAAGCCGGAAATGCTCCAATTGAAATTGAAAGAAGAGCCCACATATGGGCAGCTGTCACCGCCAAAAATACAAAAATAGAATTGGTTTGTAATAACAGATAGAGTCTAATTGTCTTTTGGAGAACGATTTATCTTATCCTAAGAGATTTATTTAAAATACAAATGGACAAGTCGCATTTGGTGAATTCGACAGCTGTAACTTGTTCAAACAAGCTCAGCTTAGTAAGCTTGTAACTAACACGAAGCGGCAATACAATTAATACACGCCAGAATAAAGTAAAAGTTGGCAATCGTCGTCACTTAACTGCAGGAACGTCTTTCATTGTCGGAAATCAGCGAAAGTTCGGAAAGATGAGGAACATTTGAAGGAGGAAATCTCAACTAAAAACATTTAAAATAAAAGTATTTACCTTACACTCAAAAATCTGATAAAACCATGCGTTCTTACCTCTGTCGCGGAAATGGATGGCACGTTTGACTATTTTACGACCTTGCTTCCTCAGTCCGTCATGAAAATGTTTCAAAGTCACTAAGACAGAGAGAGTACTAAGAAAGACTAGAAAGCTATGTCATGGAACGGAGAATCGCAACGGCGCGTTGTGAAAATGAAACAAAGAGTTCTTTGGCCCAT